GAGTGCACAATTTCATTTAAAAATTACTACTGAATTTAAAGACACAGATTAACTTCAACCTAATAATAATATGTGGCTTCAATACCCCACTTTCTCCAATAGACTAGTCATCTGAACAAAAATTATACAGAAAATCATTAGAAATAGATGTTATTATACACCAAATACAGATAGCTACAGAATATTCCACCCAAACACAAAAGAATATCCATTCTACTCAGCAACACATGGAAACTTTTCTGAAATGGGCCACATTCTGGGGCACAAAACAAATCTTTAAAAATTCAAAAAGGCTGAAATCACTCCTTGAGTATTATCTGACCACAATAGAATAAAACTTAAAATTTCCACAGCCCCAAAAACTTTAGCAGAGGCCAGAGTGGTCCTAAGGACCCAGGTAAGATACTGCCCACCATCTGCTAAACCCCTTTAAGCCCATCCAACAACCCTAGACTGTACCCCTACCACTGGGCTCCATATCCCTACCTACTACTTTGGAAGGCTTTACCAGAGGCCAGCCATGATCTAGAAACCCAGGTAAGACACCACCCACCACCTTGACCAAAAGCTAACTCTAAATGGATCAAATATCTAAACTTGAAACCTAGAATCCTGAAACTTCTAGAAGAAAATATAGGCAGTATCCTACATGATATATGTGTGTAGCAAAGGACTTCCTGAATAGGACTCCATTTGCCCAAGAATCAAGACCAACAACTGACAAGTGGGACTTCAGAAATCTCAAAAGCTTCTGCACAGCTAAAGAAATATCACCTGGAAGAAGAGGAAGTCTACAGAATGGGAGAGAATCTTTGCCAGTGATACCGTAACAAAAGATTAATATCCAGAATATGTAAAGAAGTAAACAAAAAACCCAAATAGTCAAAAACAAATAACCCATTCAAAAATGCACTCAGGACCTGAATAGAGAGTTCTCAAAAGAAGAAAACATGGCTAAGAAACACCTCAAAAAATGCTCAGCATTCCTAGTAATTAGGAAAATGCAGATAAAACAACTTTGAGATTTCATCGTATCCCAGTTAGAATGCAAAAGATAACAGAAATCTGAAATACTGAAACTGCTAGGAAAAATAAATACAATTGGTACAGGATCACCCAACTGTCTGTGTGGCACTTCCTCAGCATTCAGAGGTTTGCTTATCAAGAGTGGCTCAGAATTTCTAGCTACAGAGGGCTTAGAAATGTCTCAACTAGGGCATTGTTATTTGCATTGTTTCTAATTTGATTATATGCTACACATCAGTAAGAATTCAAAGTTCTCAAAAGTTGCTTTTCTCTACAATATTTTATAAAATTGAGGAAAGTATCAAATATGAAGTTTAATTACACAAGGCTTTCTACTTCAGACAATAGCACTACAGGCATGCCCTAATATACGCATAAACAGATCTTTTCAATATTCTATAGTCTCTGGGTCAGTGTTTCTCAAACCCTATACCAATAAGATCTTTGAGAGTACAGTTCTGCTAAGGAGACTGCAAGGGACAGGGATGGAATGGGGTAAAGAATAGGAAGTGAGCCCATCATAGCCCCTATGACAACCAGAGTAACTTCACATTGGTCTGCTTTGTAATTTTGGCTTTTCTGGGATGCTTTCTTTAGAACAAAAAGTGTTACAGTATTGTAACTAAGAAAAACCAAATATTTAAAAGCAATCACTGTAGGAAACCTTGCCATACATTGTACAAGTATTAAAGAAGCCATAACTATAGGAGCATAGCAATTTTGTTTTAAGAACTTCCCACACTTCTAATTTTCACCCTTTTTGTGTGTGTGTGTGTGTGTGTGTGTGTGTGTGTGTGTGTGTGTGTACATGTATATGTACATGCACAGGGCAGAGGAAAATATCAGGTGGTCTTGCACTATTACTATCCACCTTATTCTTTGAGACAGCATTTCTCACTGAACCTAGAGCCATGCTGGAAGCCAGCAAGTTCCCAATGATTCTCTTGTATTGATAACCTTCACCTCTCCCTATCATACACACACACACACACACACACAGACACACACACACACACACACACACACAGAGAGAGAGAGAGAGAGAGAGAGAGAGAGAGAGAGAGAGAGAGAGAGAGAAATAAAAAATAGCCATGCATAGTTTTTTACATGAGTGCTGAGGGTTTGAACTTAGAACATCATGCTCTTAGCAACTAAGCCACCCCCATCCATTTACACAATTGTTGAGATTCCTCATGTAGAGGGCCAAAGCAAAGGAGGCTGCAGCTAGCTTTGAAGGCTTCTCTTGGACATAATCATATTCCTGCAGGGTCATCTCACAGATGAATCGGGACAAGGTTAGTGTCTTCATGCTAGCACAGATACACTAAAGGAAATAAGAAGACTAGTTAACAATCCATTTAGAAAAACAGTAGCAGGCAGAAGAATCCCTTTCAAGTTATCCCATCTCTAGTCCACATGGTTCTCTGCTTGAACAAAGTACTTCTCCTGCTACCATGACCCCATTTATAGACTCCTGCCTGAAAGGCCTTCAAGGCATGCAAATGGCCAGGCCCATCCCTTGAGGACTTCCAATTGCCAGGTTATACCCACAGAACACACTTAACTGCCCTAATGGCCAGCCCCAGCCCTACACTAGAGTAAAAAGCCCAAGTTCTGGGTTTGAAAACCTACCAATACCCATTCTGGAAAGCCCCTCACCCAGAAACGCTATATTAACCCTGTCTTCTGCTTAGTTCTCTGCTGCTTCTCACCTAATTAGAGGCAGCCAACCTCCTGGGTTTTCCCCTCCTAATAAATCTTTTGTGTGAGATTTGTTGTGTGGTCTGACTGCAGTATTCCTTAGCTCTCAACTGCCAGGATACCTTTCCCTTCAGAGCTGTAAGACTTTGAGGACACCCTTCCCCACTGGAGCAGAGCTGTCACACTTGCACTGAGGAAACCTTTCCTCTAGGAACAGAACTGTAACACTTACACTGTCTATAAAAATGCATTCACTCCAGGAGAAGATTATGATACTGGCATGGAGATTGGTTATCTTTAGGGCCCCTAAATTATCATGTGGCTCTCTTTGCTGGAGTAATCATCCATTGAAGGATCAAAGTCTACCAACTGTGATTTTTAAACACAGTCCTACTCTAGGAGATATTTCAGTTCCAAAACATTCCCTTCCTTTCTATGTTCAAATATTTTTAACTTATAACACACATAAAACATATATAAAACAATTTTAGGATATAATTAATAATTAAAATGTGATCTTCCCCATAACCAATATTCAACTAAGGAAAATAATATTGCCAGCATTTCCCCAAAACATATGCATCTTCTGCTGATCAAAGAATATTTTTACCTCATCCCCTAGTTTGCCCTTATCCCAAAACTTTATAGGTACACCACAGAAATTTATAACTTGCTTCACCCCAAGCATCTGATAAACAGCCTTTCACCAATAAGTCTACCAGCCACTATGAATGCAGAAAAGATCAATCCAAAAGTAAAATAACTAAGCTATATCTCTTCCTGGTTACCGAAGCATATCTACGCAGAAAATTATATGCAGTGGGAATATTGATGTCAAAGTCGAGGGTTTTCAGAATATTCATTTCCAAGGCAACCATATCACGTTGCTGATAAAGATCTTCACAAATGTAAAGGAACTCTGGCAGAGAAGGTGGATAGGATTCCTGTGGATAGAAAGGAGACACAGTCATCTCTAATTATGATAAAAGGAAGAAGGGGAAAGAAGGGGAAAGAAGTGAAGGAAGGATAAATAGGAGTCAACCACATTTCCAGACAGACTTTTGGGGCAGATCTCAGAGTCAGTTTTAGTTAATTTGGATTTCTCAACAAAAAAAAAAACTAAAATAGAAAAATGAGAATAGTTGCCTGTCCCTAAACTGCATTGATATCTGAGAGGATGGGGCTAAATGTTATGGTCTCTTATAATGCTAAAAGCAGCCTAACATTACACAGCATCTGAAAATAGGAATGTGCCCTCCTGATGGGCGAGAATCAGAAATCAGAATAGAGATATCTAAAGCCTGCTATTGGAAAGGAACAGAAGTAAGCCAAAGAAAAATGAGCTAGAGATAGAAGAAATATGCATGGTAGGATGGAGAAGAGCTGGGAGTTTGAGTGTGCTGTTCTGGGAGTGTCTTCCCATGTTGTGTTCTCTGGAGGTTGAACATTGGTAAGGGGAAATTATGGGGGTATAGAAAGAACCTTCATATTTTGCTGTGACCCAGAGCCCACTGTCCACCCCAACTGTATTTTGCTCTTTACCTCTTTACTGTCCTTCCCTCTTCTTTGTCTCCCTCTCCCTCTATTCCTCCGCCCCTTGTGGCTTCATCAGTTCACATATCCCCATATCACTAGTTCCTTTCTTCCACAATCACCCCATTCCCACACCTCCCTTAACTCTTTCAGGTCACCTGTATCATTATATTTCCTACTCTATCTTCCCCCTGCCTTGGTTCCTTTTTGCTTTCCTGCTTTTTGCAGTAACTCCAGGATATACTCACAGTTAAAGATTTGGAGCTAAAACCTACAAACCAGAGAACATGTGGCATTCATCTTTCTTTGGTCTGGGTTACCTCACTCAATATACTATTTTCTAGTCCCATCCATTTACCTGCAAATTTCATGATTTTAGTTTTTCTTTACAGCTGAATCGTATTCCATTGTGTATACATACCATATTTTCATTATCCATTCATCTATTGAAAGACATTTAGATTTGTTTCCATTTCCAAACTATTGTGAATAGAGACATAATATATGTTGCTGAACACATTGCTTGTGAAATAGGAATGTCAAGTACTTTGGATATATGCCAAGGAGTGGGTCATATGGTTCATTTGTTTTTAGCTTTTTGAGGATTTTCCAAGCTTAATCCCAGAATGGCTGTACCAGATTTCATTCTCACTAATAGTGAATTGGGGGGTCCTTTTCCCCACATCCTCACTATCATTTATTGTCAGTTGTTTTGTAATGCTCCCCTCAAAGCCACAGACGATCTAGCAAACCTCTCTGAATCAGGCATGAGAAACCTCCTTTCAAGCTATTGGTCAGGGTAATCCAGGAGATTTCCAAGACAACATAAGCTACCGCTGTTACCTTCAGCTGCCTCCTAGAGGTTGAAAGAAAGTCCCTGTTGCTGAAGACACCACACATTTTGAACATACACAACTCTGAATGAAGAATTTGAACTGTATTTGACCTTAGAGCTTCCTCTCAGAGGTCTAGCTTTCATAGTACCAGGGGGAACTATACAAGCTGCCAAAAGAGGGAAGCAGTCAATAGTCCTACCCAGCTATACTACCTGTAAACCAAAACAATGACCAGCATGGCAAGATATCACCAAAAGTGCAATAGTGACACTCCTGTCTTGGTGGTAACCAACAGCTATCTAATTAGACTTAAGGCCACCACAATAATATCTGCTACTGGAATCCTAGCCAACTTCCCAGAGCTAGTGAGGTTATTGATTTTAGAGAAGAACCCACTATTGCTGCTTTTCTAGAGCAACATAATTCCTAACTGCATTCTAAAACTTATTCTTATAACCACAATAAGTGTAACTATCACTTTCATCTAAGAAGCTTCTCTTTGCAGCAGTGGAGAGCATTAGGGAAAACCACAAATGGTCAAGATACAGAAATCAATTGATCACATGGTACCGACTCCCCAGTTGGTATATCTGTAACACAAGTCCTACACATAAGGTTTGAGGAATATTGTGGGAGGAGGGATTGAAAGATTGTAAGAGACAGAGGACCAGGAAAGCTGCTGTGAGATGTGTCTCCAAGAAACGACAGGGAAGCTGTATCCATGAAATCTCAACAATGTGACTGTCTCAACAGAAGCTGAACAATGACAACACCAACAGACATGTTAATGTGGAAGCAAAACATCTCACAAGCCCCACTCCTACACAAAGAACAGCAGGCAATTAATAACTGCTAAGAGATGGAGAATTAGTCTTACCCAGGGATGAGTCCCCCAATTGGTTATCCTATACCAAGTGGTCAGCCCTAAAATCGTGTACATACAAGCAATATTAAATGGACTCTCGGGCTGTATTTTTATATTTATGTGTGTATATAAATAAACAGTAATAATCAAAGAAAAAGAGGACATGAATTTGAAATGGAATAAGGTTTGGGGAATGGAGGAAGAAAATGAAGTGGATAAATAATGTAATCACATCTGAGTTAAAATTTATAATTTAAAAAACTTTTTCAGGGGCTAGAAAAATGGCCCAGCAATTAAGAGTGCCTACTGCTATTACTGAAGACCCAAGTTTGGTTCCTAGTAGCCACATCAACAGGCTCATAGCTCCAAAGACATATGACATCATTGATTCCATGGACACCTGCATTCACATGTGCAGACTCCCACACAGACAAATGCACATTATTAGGAAATAAAAATCCTTTACAAAGGTCTTCCAGTATTTGTAAATCCTATAAGGGGAAGACATCCTTCTCCCACAGGCCTTAGTAGATAGATGCCTTCTGTTCTGACCACAGCAACAAGAGTACTTTGGATTCCAGTCCTTTCTTCGTCTTTCTTCTTGCTCTACCTAGGCCCAGCCTTTGAAAATAAGGTGTTGAACAGTATCTGTAATGATAAGTACAAAGGGGCACTTGAGCAGGGGAGGAAAGAGATAGAGAAGGAGGGACCAAGAAGGTAGAAAAAGAAGCAAGGAAAGGGGAAGAGAGGGATCAGACACACAAAAATAAAAAAGGGGATGGGGAGCCAGCAGATATACCAAAAGAAAAAAATAGTTTCAAAGTTATTTGAACCTTTTACTGGAAACTGCTACCTCCTAAATAAAGGAAAGATTAGAGAGGTTAACTATATGGATTATGAGCATGAAGAAAAGGCCAGTTGTCTTTATACTGTTACTTCAAAAATAACTATTTCACATAAACCATTATAGACTCACTATAATCTACATCAACCATTTTATATTGGCTGTCTCCAACAATCTATTTTGTTTCATTATAGGTGCAGATAGGTTCCCTTAGACAAGGATATAGCTGGTGGAACAAGAAAAGCTTGGGGAGAGCGGCAGAAAATGACCTATCAAATTAGGCACCCGTGCCCATAAAGTATCTTTAAAGACTAAACAAGTGACCCTTGCTGCTCTCAGGACAAATATACCACCAATGCCAAACAAGAACTTTCCAGAGTAAGGAAATACACAAAATTTTGGAAAATATCTGCACATAGATAAATTTATAGAGGTGCATATACACAATTTTACTTATATGTGTATGTACACATACATATTCATTCTATATTTAGGACGGATATTCTGTAAGTGCTCTCAGACCTTATGGAGTGAGACTCACCTCAAATTTGGCTGCAATCATGTAGGCAGTGGAACCAAGGAGTTGTAGGTTATCCTTTTTGCATTGTGCCTTCATTAGGTAGTGATCCACTAGCTTCACAGTCAAATACAGGGTCTCATGACTCATCTGAAAGGATGTCTGAAGGAACAAAGAAGATAGGAACCTTCCTATTTTCCAAATAAACAGCCATCTCCAAACAAATCTAGAAACCTTGACTGTCTGGAGCACCAAGGACTGCCCCAGCCAGTTTGTACTCTGCTAGGAATGTGGAAACTACTTCAGAAAGGTACCGACATATACCTCTGTCTAATGCCTTTAAGTACCCTGCAATTATCTGTAATTATCCTTCAGACAGATAATCAACCTCACAAGCTATACAGTGTCTGTGAGTGACTTGAGTCCACATTCCCTCTCTCTCCTGGATCTCTAACACTCAGATTCCTGCTTTCCTCATTTGTTAGTAACTTGTAATCTCCACAGAGATGGTGTTTCTTTAGATCCAAAACACAGAGACAGGGCTTAAAGTCAAGTTTCTAAAAGGTCCATCTTCCTTTCTAGAAGTTCTAGTAAATAATGTCTTGCTTTCTAGTTTGTAGAGTCAACTCACAATTTTTGGTCTGTTGCCCCTTTAATCTCCCAAACCTATGAATAACTAGACAAATCTTTCTCATATTATATTGCCCAATCTCCCTGTTCCACATTTAAGGACATCTGTAAATACATTAGGCTCTCTCTAATAATATGATATCATTAGCCTATCTTAAATTCAGCTGATTAGCAACTTTAACATTTTCACAGGTACTGGTGATTCTGTCATGGGCATTTTATTTTCCTCTCCACAGTATCCAAATGAATGTCTTAAGATAGGAACAGGAAGAGATCATATAGGTGAAACGTAATGCCTACAATCTTAAGTAGCAAATTGAAACCAGATAATCACAAACACACACACACACACACACACACACACACACACACACACACACACACAAGATTTTTTAATTCAAAAGTAATATAATATACTAGACATGACTAATACAGACCTAAAACCTTAGATTTTTAAGACTAAAAGCCGAAAAAGAAATAAACTAAAACATGTAAACTATTTAATCTTTTTTTAAAATTTTGTATTTTAGGAGCCCATCCCACATGGAGGGATACTCCCTGAGCCTAGACACAAGGGGGTTGGCTTAGGCCCTATCCCAAAGAGTGTGACAGACTTTGAAGATCCCCCCCATGGAAGGCCTCACCTTACCCGGGGAGCAGAAAGGGTATGGGATGGGTAGGGTGTTATCTGGGGGGCAGGGGAGGAGAGGAGGGAGAGGGACCTGGGATTGACATGTAAAATAATTTTCTTTCTAATAAAAAAAAAAGAAGCGCTCTTATCTGAGGGGAAGTTGTTAGACCAGTTCTATCAAAAGGGCTAGTTAACTGAATGAAGAGTTTATACAGATAAGAGAATCACAGAGCCATTAAAAAGAACACAGTAGATCCATACTTATATAAAAAGTTTACTTGTATTATTTGTGTGTGTGTGTGTGTGTGTGTGTGTGATTGTTTTGACATGGGGTCTCATGTAGCTCACACTGACTTAAAACTTGCTGTGAAGCTGAGGGTAGCATTGATCTCTTGATCTCTTGCCTCCACCTCCCAAGAACAGGGATTGCAGGCTTGTACCACAACATTCATATTGGGATTTGCTTGTTTTTTTTTAAGGTTTTTATAATTTATTTATTCTTTTAAATTTCAATTTACATTTCAACCACAGTTCTACCTCCCACCTCTCTCATGGGGGGGAGGCAAGGGGGGTGAGAGGAGGGGTGGGAGAGATCTGTTTGTTTGTAAGAAATGCATATATATATATATATATATATCACAGGCCTGTGATCTCAATACTCAGAAAGCTGAGGCAGAAGGATTTAGGGTTTAAGGCTTAAGATTGCATGTGTACTATTGATATAAACAAGAGACAGCAGAACTTTAACAACAAAATGTACAGAAAACGACCTGAAAGGATACACTTCAAATAATGTATAGCTATTACCCCTAGAGAATAAAGAGTACCAAAACAAAAGTAATTTGCTTTGAAATCCAGCCTCTGTACTTGGCTAAAGCCAATTATCTGCATAGTGATCTACAACTTGTAAAAGTTGTAACCCAATCAAAGAAGCTGAATTTACAGTCAATCAGAAGCTAAAATCTACCAAATTGTCAATATATAAGCCAAAGGCCAGTAGCAGCCATCAGGTTTTATAATTGTATTTACTTGTCTTCCTGTCTTATTTGCCATTTAAATAATAAATTCCTAGAAATCAGAAATGGTAGTTTCTTCAGCTCTATAGATCCATTGTGTTTTTAGCATGTTTAATTTGAACTGAAAAGGAAAACAACAGCTTCTCAAGGTAGCAGTTGCCATGCTTACCTGTACTTCCACCAACCAGTCCACAAGAATGGCTCTCATATCACTGGTGAGTTCCATCTGCCTGTCCATGTATTTCATAACTATGAACTTTTCCTGACAGTGTTGAAAAATAAATGTTAATAAACTATTCTTGTGCTTCAAAATTTTAACAATTAACTTCTTTTTCATGGTTCTAACACACTACTTTCAACTGGTATCAGATGTGTGCATATCAGAGTATCCTTTTCTCAACAAGCTCAAGCTACCTTTGGGAAATGGACATATAAAATATTTAAGTATCAGAAGAGATATTGAAAACCCACCCATGGATGTCAATGAATACTAAAAGAGTCATAATATTTCTTTGCTATCCAGTCTAAAACACAATACCATGCTGTGCATATCAATGTTTTTTCTACTTTGACATACATATGTAGTACTCAAATGTCATGTAAAGCTCTATATTTTGATTTAGAAAACTAAGCTTAGCTTGTCCATTTATGACAAGATTTCCAATAAGACCTACCAGAGCCAGTCTATCCACCTGCCTGACCCCTCAGACACCCCACTGGCCATTCTGTGGACCATATGTTACCCTGTGAGCTCAAACTCAGGCATGGACCCCAGAGCTAGTCTGCAATCCACCCCATTCACTATGCTACCCAGAGATCTCATGGCTCCTATGAGTATAATCTCAGGTATAGATCTTCAGCCCAGGAGCAGACCATCTGTAGCTAGAAGATTCTTATGGCTGATCTTCAGATGTCTGCTCCTGGGCTCAGAAGTTGCACCCATTCCTAGCTTAAATGAGACTACTTATGACATTCTATTTAAACATCAACAAAGTTGCTCCAATACCGAGCTCAAAGCATCATTCAGCTGGACCACAACCTGGCAAACTGGAGTAGCAGCAAACAAAGATCCAAATAACCACAACAACAAAGGTGTGAGAGAGTCAATATCCATAACAAGAAAAACCACCAACGTTTTAACTCCAGATGCCTAGATCACATCACAAAACCAAACAACAAAAACAAACAAACAAAAACCTGCATATACTGATTGAAATTCTCAAAGAATTAATGAAATATCTTATATTGTTCAAAGAAGACACAGACCCAGATGGACAGAGAGATGGGAGGATCTGGGAGTAGATGAGGGAGGGAAAACTGTGATCAGACTACACTATATGAAGTGTGGTTCACATGGTAAAGTATTATGATGCCAAGAACATATGGCAGCCAGGAATTACAGAGACTGAAGGGTCTATGGTCCCCAAATACCCTCTACAAGCTTTCTTCTGATTATTGAATCTCCTCTTATAAAACCCACCTCCTCACTGGGCGTTGGTGGTGCATGCCTTTAATCCCAGCATTAGGGAGGCAGAGGCAGGCGGATCTCTGTGAGTTCGAGGCCAGCCTGGTCTCCAGGGCGAGTGCCAGGATAGGCTCCAAAGCTACACAGAGAAACCCTGTCTCGAAAAACAAACAAACAAACAAAAAACCAAAAGCCCACCTCCTAAACGTTATGCTATCTCCTGGTATCTCCTCAAGCTAGGGACCGAGCCTTTGTGGAACATTCTAGGTCCAAAGTATAGATTAAGAAATCCTGGGAAATCTGAAATGTGTTATCATCCAGGATACCTTGTCTATGTTTGACATATGGAGTTAGTATATTATTGTGTAACTGAACCCTTTATCTGAGGGATCTGATGTGAACTTTGGGTGCTTAGTATGAGAATCTAATCAAACTGTTGAAGAGTCAATATGTTAGAGAAATGGTCAATTGCTACCTCACAAAATGTTGTACTAGCTTTAGATAAAAAAACAACTCTAATCTCTAAAAAATAAAAAGTACAACTTACTTTACCTTTAAAAAGAATATACTGTATAAAAATCTATTTTCAAAGAAGGAAAAAATTCAGATTTCATCTGATAATTCTAAGTCAGGACTCAAAAAAGAGAAAGAAATAAAAGAAAAAGAAACCCAAAAGAGATTTCTCCTGGTTTCTCTAATTTACAGATGGTCCTGAATTATTTCAACTTAATTTTTATACTTTATGATAGATAAGAAGCAATACACATTCAGTAGTAACATAGCTACTGGTTTGATTTTGATCTTTTTTTCAGGACTAAAAATATGTGGTACAATCCTCTATCTCAATGCTAGGTATCTTCACCAATCTACATTTTACAGTGAACACTGTGGCTGAGACTAGATATTTCAATTTACAGTGAGTTTATTTAGATTTTATCCTCTTCATATGTCAAGAAATATCTGTACATTAGAAAAGGCATGGAATCTAAAAATCAAGTAATCAGTTCTCTCTAGAGAGAGTGTGTGAGATATTCATTTACCATCATATATAGAGTCTGCTAAAACTTCTACTTGGTAGATAATCTTGTTTTTCTGTTTCATTGAAAAAAGAAGAAAATTTGGAACTAATGAATATTTAAAGCAGACTTTCATTTTCAAAGGCAAAGAATCCTGCACCAAATTGGAAAGTTGAAACAATGGGTGTGATTATTACATACAATGTCAGAAACATGGGAAAACAAGGAAAAATATCTCAGACAGAAGTTACTCAGAGACAAGCTACTTATGATTTTTATGTCTTAGATGGTCTGATCTGCAGTTAGATGTTGCCAGGTCATGGTCTTCATGGTAATCAGACTTTTGTTTGTATTTCAATTCTACCATGTAATGTAGATGACTCTGGGTAGTTTACCTATAATGTAAAAAGGAGATAATAATCTCCACCATCAAGAAACTTTTGGAAGATTTAAGGTAATGTCTACAAATCCTTTAACATAATGGTCAGCTCACAATACACTACCAATAGATGGTATTCGCAGATACTGTTGTTTTCTACATCATTATCAGACCCCCTTCAATTTATAAGCTGAAGGAGAGAATGAGAAAGAAATGAGAACTAGAGAGCCCTGTCTACCTTCAGCAACCTATATACCCACCTCTCTCTGCCTCAAGTAAATGAAGATTTCCTTGATATATACAGAGTTGAGTGCTGGATTACGGTCTTCCTTTTCAATACTTTCCGCTGTGTCACTGTCGTCCAGTATGATTACCTGTATAGGACAAATGACAAAAATTTTGAGTACATGTCCCATAGTTCTTGGCAGGAGACTAGTTTAGAAAGAGACAGAAGGAATATTTTGTGCATGTTAATGTATTTGCTTGTATTGATGATTTATGTACTTTTACTGTATATAAATTTTGGCTTAAAAAAATCCTCTCTTCATCCCTGCCTACAACATGTGTTGAGGTAAAAGGTGGCACAGAGATTGTGGGAGTGGCCAACCAATGACTGGTCCAGCCTGAGACCCATGCCATGAGAAGGAACCCACACTTGACATTGTCTGTAATCCCAGGACCCAGAGGCTGGGTGGCCCAGAGACCTAGAATAGAACCAAATATGCCTGGGAAAATGTCAATGAAATGATTCCTAATAATATTCTGCTATACTCATAGAATGGTGTCTAGCCCAACAGTCATCAGAGAGGCTTCACCCAGCAACTGATGGAAACAGATGCAGAGACCCACAACTAAACATCAGGCAGAGCTTGGGGAACCCTGCAAAAGAGGGGAAGGAAGGATTGTGGGAGCCAGAGTGGTCAAGGACACCACAAGAAAATCCACATAATCAACTAACCTGGGCTAATAGGAACTCACAGAGTCTGAACTGACATCCAGGGAACCTGCATGGGCCTGACCTAGGCCCTCTGCATATATGTAACAGTTGTATAGCTTGATTTACTTGTGGAACTCCTAGCAGTGGGAGTAGGGGCTGTCTCTGACTATTTTGCCTACTCCTACTGGGTCGCCTTGTCAAGCCTTAATATAAGGGGAGGTGCCTAGTTTTACTGCAACTTGATATGCCATGTTTGGTTGACACAGTTGAGAGGCCTGCCTTTTTCTGAATAGAAATGGAGGAGTGGATGAGGGGGCATAAGGGAGGTGAGAGGCAGGAACTAGGAGGAGAAGAGGGAGGAGAAACAGCAGTGGGGGTATTAATAATAATAATAATAATAATAATAATAATAATAAATCATTTTAAAAGGAAAATATCATCGAAAGGACTTCAATATTCAAAACCATATAAAAACTATCTTTGGTAAAAAAAATAGTTTGTCTTAAATTAGATAAAGCAACTTACCTAAATTAGATAAAATACCTTGCCTAATTTAAGAAAAAAGAGAAATAAATACATACCTCAGTCTGTTTTTCACCCACAGCTGACTGAAGATCTTTGGAAGCAGATTCACATGGACTGGAATTCATGACAGGATTGAATGTCTCCTCAGTGGGCACAAGAGCATTGGAATTGCCTGCTCTGCATTCTAAAGCATTGGTGGGCATATAAGTGTTATTATCTTGTGGAAAGGCAAGGAATGATTTGAAAAACTCCTCTTCATCAATAATACTAGTGTCTTCCAAAGCTAGTAGATCTGTAAAGGCCAATTGGTCTGCAGCAGTGAGTCCCTCGTGCAGTGCCAGTGTTTCTATGGACTCCTCAACATCTAATATATTTCTGGTTACATCATCCTTCTCAATGTCAGGGTTATGATCAGAAGTCAAAATCTCCTTGGGACTTGCCTTCTCAATGCTGAGATTCTCTTTCAAGGCTAATGGTTCCTTCAGGGTAGCCTCTGTTTTTTTGCTAGGGTTCTCCTGCAAGGCCAAGGGCTCCTCCAGAATAGATTCTCCCCCAATTCTAGGTTTCTCCATCAATTCCAATACTTCATTCAAGAGAACCTCTACGTTACTGGGTGGTTTCTCCTGAAGGGTCAAGGCTACCTTCTCCACATCGGGCTTCTTCACTATGACCAGCAGCTCCTTCAGGACAGTCACCAGGTCAGCTCGGGTCTGCTCCTGTGGAGGTAATGGCTCCTTCACAACTGCTTCATCCTTGATGCTTGCTGTCTCCTGCAAGGGCCAGCATTGATTGATTGTGTCACTGGTGTACTTATTGAGGACAGCCTCCTCAGTAGAATTATCTTGTGTGATCAATGGCTTCATAGGGACAGCCATTTTCTCCATACTGAGTTCCTCCTGAAAGTGTAAAGGTTCCACAGCAGCCTCCACCATAGGGCTGGGATAGCTTTGAAAGTGCAGTGAATGATAACTAAAGGACCCATCAACTTCACCACTGCTGTTCTCTTCCAATATCTTCTTTAAGACAAATTCCTGCTCTAGAGCAACGGTCCTCTCTTGGCTCGATTCTGCAGAGGAAGGATATCTGTCCTTACAAAAGAGCTTTCTTAAAAAGGCCTCTTCTTCAGAAACACTGTCCTGTGAGTCAAACAGTTTTCTGTGGGAGTCCTTTTTTCTATCAGTCTTCTCTTGCAAGTCCAAAGACTTCTGAGATTTAAAGGTATCTTCATAAGTATAACTATAAGGAGAAAATAGCTCTGGAGAGAAGAACATATTATCATCATTTAAAGTCACTGATTCCTTACTATATTCCCCTTCTTGACTGGCGGTCTTCTCTGCGGCCAATGGCATTGAGGGGGGTAGTTTCTGTGGAATGGAGGACTCTTCATTCAGTGAAGATGGATTCTGTTGGAACCCAGTTATAGTTTCATTCCTAAGTGATCCAGGCTTTGTAGAGAAAAAATTCCTGTTTGCATCAACTTTTTCCAGCCACTCTGCCTGTGCTGGCCAGAGGGGGATTATATGAGTAGCACACTTTGTTTTCGGTATAGCTGTATTTTCTTTCTTAAAGGGTAGTGGCTCCTTAGCCAGTGACTCTGCTCCTAAAGTGGTTGTCTGTAATACTGGTGGATTTTTTAAATGTAACATTGTCCCTTGAGAAAAAGTCTGCTGCATCTCTAGAGCTAAATGCTTATGGGTGAAGGCTGGCTCCTCCATGATGCACCGTTTCTTAAAAGCTGAAGTTAACTGACAATGTGACTCCTCCACCATGTGACGCTTTCCTGGGGCACAGAGCCTCTTTGACCTGGACAATATCCTAGGACTAGTGTGCCTCTTTCGTAATGCAGATGGCCTCTGGATAGGGGGCTCTTTCTCGATGGTAGACTTCTTGAAGGACAATGGCTCATTAGTAACTGGCTCTTGCACTGCAGGGTTATTGACCAAATGTCTCCTTTTAGGGAGATGCCGCTTCTTCTTTGAAGATGAGTGCTTTTTCACGCGAGGGGCCTCTTCCATGCTACGCTGCTTCTTCAAAACTGGAGCTACGGGAAAATGCAACACCTCTTCCCTAGTAGTAGTCTTTTGCAGAGTCAAGGACTTCTCCACAGTGGACATCTCCAAGCCAGCAATGTGCTTGTCTGGCAATGCAGATAGCCCCTGGAAATGGGAATGTTTCTTGGTGGTAGACTTCTTAAATGGCTCATGTTCATGGGTGACTGGTTGAACTCCTAGTGACGTAAAATTAATGTTGCTCCCCTGAGTGTCACGATTATTTTTAGAAGAGAATAGCTTTTTTGTATGGGTTGTTTCATTGGTACTATGTTTCCCTTTCAAAGTAACTGGCTCTGTCAAAATGTCATCTTTATTATTTGTATTCTCTTGTAATGGCTTCTTCAAGATGCTTGCCTCCCCTTGAGCATTATATTTCTCTTGCAGTAAAGATGGTTCCTGTATCAAAGACTTCATCTCAGTGGCAGGATGCTTTTTCTTGAAAGATGGCTTTCTAATTACTGACTTCTCTCTAGTAGTCACCACCTTTAATTCTAATGATTTCTTCCTGAATGAACTCTTCCCCCTGATAATATACTTCTCTTCTTGAATAGCAGGTTTATTCTTTAAAGATAATGGACTTGAGGTGAAAGTCGCCTTCGAGGTGAGAGTTGACTCCCTGGTGTCAGGCTTCTTTGAATAAATCACCTGTAAATGGAAATAATTAGTAGAATTTTAGTCTTTCCCAAACAATAGCTTTTGGTGAAGCTGCATCTCTGAAAATATCTCTGAAAAAAATCTGATTCCCTAAGCATACTACCTCCTCAATGATCTCTGCTTCTTCAGGCTCATCCATCATTTCTGAAGTCATCGGCTCTGTATCAAGCCCATCATAAACTTCAGTCTCTTCCAGCAACATTAGTGGTGGCTCCATTAGAAATGTCTCCTGATGATATGCACGCCTCTGTAATGTCTTCTTCATAAGGCTTGTCTCTTCAGTAGTAGGTTCCTCATTTAAAACTAATGTCTTTTCAAAGACAGATGGTTTCTCAGTAGTTAGTGCTTTAGAATTGGTGGGTATATCCAGAATAAACTGTTTCTCTGTGTTTGACAGTGAGGTAACAAGTCCCAACTTAGAACTGTAAATGAAACAAAGTGGGTAAGAATAATGTGACTCCTAGTCCTCATCCACTATTTCATTCTGTTGCTACATTAACTAAAAGAAAGGGAAAGAGCTTCAACACCAATATAGAAAAAAATATACAAACCATACCAAGCCAAGTTAGTAGCACACCATATAGTTTCTATGCTTACATCCTTATAATTTTCTACTTTTCTATGAGATCCATGTTATACTTTCTCACATATGGCTTACTACCATTATTTATATACAAAGTCTCTATTATAATACTTACTTGGATGAGTTACCTGTATATGTATTGATCACTTTCACTAGAAACAGTTATTTATCTTTGCCTAACTGCACCATATCGCTAATGAAATGCAGGTTGAAATTATTGTTTGAAGGCTAATGAGAGATGAAGGCTGGTAATTAACATTAATGGTTCCTAACAACATTCTCTGCACCAAGGAGTATTCTGAAGGTGTTTTCTTAAAAAATGAAATAGAGAGATCAAAATAGAAATGTATCACATATGTCAATCTAAAGCTCTGTTTTAAATAGGATTTCATAATTAATGAGTGATTAATTTAACATAATCTAATCATTTGAAGACTACAAGTCAAAATAAGAACTAAAAGGAAGTAAAACCACCATCATGAACTCCAGGTATAAATGCCTCTAAAAATTCAATATCATATGATTCAATTCACATGAAATATGTAGGATTCTAGGGTGTAGGGCAGTGGTTCTCAACCTGGGTGGGGGGTTAATCCCTTTGGGTGTCAAATAACCCTTTCACCCAAGACCATCTGGAAGCATAGATATTTATATTACGATTCATAACAGTAGCAAATTTTCAGTTATAAAGTAGCAACAAAAATGATTTTATGGTTGGGGATCCCCACAGCATGAAGAACTGTATTAAAGGAGGGTTACAACATTAGGAAGGTTGAGAATCACTGGTGTAGGGAGAGTTGGAAAGTAAACTCCTAGATAAAGTTTGCTTTGAAGGTGTTGACACTTTATAAAGTTACACAGTTGTGATAGCTCTAGAATTAATTTTTAAATCACTGCATTATAAAAGATAACAATTGGGCTGGAGAGATGACTCAGAGGCTAAGAGCACTGGCTGCTCTTCCAGAGGTCCTGAGTTCAACTCCCAACAACGACATGGTGGCTCACAACCATCTGTAATAAGATCTGGTTCTCTCTTCTGGCCTGCAACCATACATGCAGGCAGAATACTGTATACATAATAAATAAATAAAATCTTAAAAATAAAAGATAACAATTGATTAAAATTGCCTTAAAAGATTCTGCTTAGGACATTTAGAAGTCATCTCCAAGTCTTCGGATAATCTAGGTACAATAAGAACATGCATTGTCAGGAGCTAGCCTGCCAAGATTCAAATCCTGTGTCCTCATTTAGGACCCAGGTAATCTTGGGCAAATTAATTCAGTGCTTCAGATTTCCTACCTATAAAATGAGGATAGAAGTTATATCTCTTTAATAAGTTTGTTGTGAAGAGCTGACAAAATAATATGCTTAATGACACTTAAAGGAATGGGAATGTTAAGAGCAGTTCAATGGAATTATATAACAGTTCATTAGAACTATACAATTTAGATAAAATGAACAAATTTGTAGAAAGTAACACACTACCAAAGCTCATTAAAGAAGAAAAATTAATTAGACTTGTATCTCATAAAAGAATTGAATTAGCAACCCAATAAACTAACCACAAAGAAGAGTTCAGTCTCAGATGGCTTAACTGGTGAATTCTACCAAAAACTTAGAGAGAGATTAAAACCAGTTATTCATCAACTCTCTTAAGAAATAGGAAAAGTGGCTCTCTCTTCTCCAGCAGAGCAAGATGCCCAAGGGAAAGAAGGCCAAGGGGAAGAAGGTGGCCCTGGCCCCGGCTGTCGTGAAGAAACAGGAGGCCAGAAAGGTGGTGAATCCTTTGTTTGAGGAAAGGCCTAAGAACTTCAGCATTGAGCAGGACATCTAGCCCAAAAGAGATCTCACACACTTCGTCAAATCGGCTGCAGCGGCAAAGGGCCATCCACTATAAGCGGCTTAATGTACCTTCTGCCATTAACCAGTTCACCCAGGCCCTGGACCAGCAAACAGCTACCCAGATGCTCAAGCTTGCCCACAAGTACAGGCCAGAGACAAAGCAGGAGAAGCAGCAGAGGCTGTTGGCCCATGTTGAGAAGGCTGCTGGCAAAGGAGATGTCCCAACTAAGAGGCTACCTGTCCTTCGAGCAGGAGTCAATACAGTTACCACCTTGGTGGAGAACAAGAAAATCCAGGTTGGGATGACTGGTTGACCGGAAAACATATATCACCGTTGCCTTCACACAGGTTAACTTGGAAAACAAGGGTGCTCTGGCTAACCTGGTGGAAGCTATTAGGACCAATTACAATGACAGATATGAAGAGATCCGCCGCCACTGGGGAGGCAATGTCCTGGGTCCTAAATCTGTGGCTCGAATTGCCAAGCTGGAAAAAGCAAAGGCCAAAGTTGCTACTAAACTGGGTTAAAAGTACACTCACTGCTAAGTTTTCTGTACACAAATACAAACTTATATTCAATCTTAAAAAAAAAGAAATAAGAAAAGTGGAAACAGAAACTGGGTAGTGGTGGCACACACCTTTTAATCCCAGTACTTGGGAGGCAGAGGCAGGTGGGTCTCTGTGAGTTTGAGGCCAGCCTGGTCTACAAAAGCTAGTTCTAGGACAGGCTCCAATAAGAAACCCTGTCTCGAAAAAACCAACAACAACAAAAAAATAAAGGTAGAAACAATTTCCAACTCACACTTTAAGGCCAGTGGTATTATGATATCAAAAGAACGATAGTGTCACAGGACAAGAAAATTATAAACCATTTTACCTCTTATGGATATAGATGTAAAAATGCCCAACAAAATACTTGAACAACAAATCCAGAAATGCATATTTAAAGGATGATCCACCATAACCAAGTAGATACCTTAGAAATACAAAGTTATTTTAACATCCAAAATTCAAATATTATAACACACTAATAGAACAAAAACAATGTCATTATTATCAATAGATCCATAAAAATCATTTCATAAATTCAACACTTTTCACAATAAAAACCAATTAGCAAACTGTAAATAGAAATGAGATTCTTGGGCTGGCAAGATGGCTCAGCAGGCTTATAAAGATGCTTGCTGCTCAGCATTCAATCACTGTAATGAACAGATACACATACATACATACATATATACATACATACTCGAGCAAATGTGAAAAACTTAAAGGAAAGGCAAACACTAAGTGGAATCAATAGTGTGTGTGTGTGTGTGTGTGTGTGTGTGTGTGAGTGTGTGTATGTGTGTTTATCTAAATAAACAGAGGGAGAGATAGACTGACCATTGGACAGACAGACAGATGGGTAGACAATGGACAGACTGACAAAAGACATATGATGGACCAATGGACAGACAAACAACAGATAGACAGAAATCATGAATTCTAGGAATTCTAGTGGAGATTGTTGGTAGGATGGGATACATGAGGAATTTGACAGGGGAGAAGGGCTAGAAAAGATGCAGATATGGTACACACATGCATGAAATTCTGAAAAATACATTTAAAGAGGAAATGAGATTCTTGAACCTGATAAATGACATCTATAAAAACTCTAAAGTTAACATAATATTTAATAGTGACAGAATAATGCCTTCCCCTAACATCAGCAAAAAAGGCAAGGATGACCAAATCTTGGCACTTCTACATTTTACAACACTCTAGCTAAGACAATTAGATAATAAAATTAAATAAGGGCATCCCTATTAGAAAGGAATAATCAAAATTATTTATATTATCACCTAAGACCTTATATAGAAAAATCCCAAGGAATCCACACAAAAAATTATAATTAACAGATAAGTTAAGCAAGATTTCAGGATAAACAATCAATACACAAAAATCACAACGATAACTATTCCAGATATGAAGACATATTGTAGAGCTATAATACTAAAATTCATATAGTACTGGCACAAAAACAGACATGTAGACCAGTGGAACAAAGTAGAAAACCAAAACATGAGTACATGTTACTAGAGCCATCTGATATTAGACAAAGAAACCAAAAATATATATTGAAGAAAAGAGAGTATCTTCAACAATGGTGCTGGGAAAACTGAATGCCCACACACAAACCAAGATTTCAATTTGAAATCTAATACTACTAGAAGAAACATAGGCTTTACTAACAAGATATAAAGGTAGAAAAGGACTTTCTAAATAGAACTACATTTGCTTAGGAATTAAAGCCAACAATTGACAAGTGGGACTTCATAAAACGTAAGGCTTTTGCACAGCTAAGGAAACAAAAAATCAAGAAAAGATAAGGCTCACAGAATGGGAGAACCTGTCTGCCAGCTACACATTTGACAAAGGATTAATATCCAGAATACATAAAGAAAACAAAAAAAAAAGAGTCAAGAAAACTGGGCTATGGATCCAAACAAAGGGTTCTCAACTGAAGAAATAAAATTAGCTAAGAAATATCTCCAATGTGTTCATCTGTAGCAATTAGGGGAATACAAACTAAACAACTTGGAGATTTCATATCATCCTAGTTAGAAAGGCTAAGATAAATTTAAAAAAATTGACCATATGCTGGTTAAGATGTGGAGAAAGCAGAACCCTCATTCATTATTGGTAAAATAGAGAAGCCAATCAAGAAATCAGTATGGAGAATCTTTAAAAAGCTAAAAATAAATGTACCATATGACCCAGCTATACCACTCCTTTGCCCAAAGAACTTAACATCCTGCTGCACAGATCTTTCTCAGTTACATTTGTAGTTCCTCTATTCACAATATGTAGGAAATATAAACAACCTAAATGTCTTTCAGCAGATGAATGAATAAGGAAATGTGATAAATGTACATGATGATACACAAAATTTGCAGGGAAATGGACTAAACTGGAAAATATCATGTTGATTGAGGTAACTCAGACCCAGAAACAAAATGCTGAATGTTTCTACCATCTGTGCTTTATATCTCCAAATCATCAGATATGAATATAGAACCTGCAGTAACCAAAGAAACTAGAAAAGTGAGAAAAGACCATTGATTGTGAGGCTAGAGAGGGGACTAGCAGGATACAGGTGACATGAAGGGGGAAAGGAAAAAAGGGAGGGGTCCTGAGTTTGGGAGTGGGGAAGGAGATCAATATAAAAGGAAAAGAGGGAGGAGAGGCAAATGTCATCAAGGATATTAACAGAGGTCTTGAGGAGTTATTTTATTTTATATTTACCTAAAATGTTTATTTCCCTACAGTTATGCCACTTGGGCTGATGATGTTTCCCCCTCTCTGCAAGAGCCATAGACTAACAACAACAAAAACACACAGAACCAGGCATGAGAAACCCCCTTTTATGGTGTAGGTCAGGGGAGTCCCAGAGACTCCCAAAACAATACAGACTATTGTTGTTACCCTTGGGTGCTTCCCATAGGTTGAAGGTAAATCCCTATTGCTGAAGACTCCACATATCTTGGACACAAGACTTAAAGGATTTGAGCTGGATCTGATCTGAAAGCTTCCTCCCGAAAGTCTAGATTTTATACTACTAAAAGCTGTCAAAGGAGGGAAGCAACCTACAGTCTTACTCAGCTATAATACCTGTAAACCAAAACAATGACCAGCATGGCAAGATATCACCAAAAGTGCAATAGTGACACTCCTGTCTTGGTGGTAACCAACAGCTATCTAATTAGACTTAAGGCCACCACAATAATATCTGCTACTGGAATCCTAGCCAACTTCCCAGAGCTAGTGAGGTTATTGATTTTAGAGAAGAACCCACTATTGCTGCTTTTCTAGAGCAACATAATTCCTAACTGCATTCTAAAACTTATTCTTATAACCACAATAAGTGTAACTATCACTTTCATCTAAGAAGCTTCTCTTTGCAGCAGTGGAGAGCATTAGGGAAAACCACAAATGGTCAAGATACAGAAATCAATTGATCACAGGGTACCGACTCCCCAGTTGGTATATCTGTAACGCAAGTCCTACACATAAGGTTTGAGGAATATTGTGGGAGGAGAGATGGAAAGATTGTAAGAGACAGAGGACCAGGAAAGCTGCTGTGAGATGTGTCTCCAAGAAACGACAGGGAAGCTGTATCCATGAAATCTCAACAATGTGACTGTCTCAACAGAAGCTGAACAATGACAACACCAACAGACATGTTAATGTGGAAGCAAAACATCTCACAAGCCCCACTCCTACACAAAGAACAGCAGGCAATTAATAACTGCTAAGAGATGGAGAATTAGTCTTACCCAGGGATGAGTCCCCCAATTGGTTATCCTTTACCAAGTGGTCAGCCCTAAAATCCTATGAGCAACACTAAATGGACTCAGCATATATGTAACAACACTAATAAAAGTAAAATAGGATATGAATTTGAGAAGGGATGGGGACCTGGAAAGGGCTTGAGGGCAAAGAGAAGAAGGGAAGTACTACTTTTTACTTAAAATTTAAAAAAATTGGCTAGGAGGTAGTGGTGTAAGCCTTTAATCCCAGCACTTGAGAGGCAGAGGCAGGAGGATCTCTGTGAGTTCAAGACTACCCTGGTGTACAAAGATACACAGAGATAGCCTGTCTAAAAAAATTTAAAAGACATAGAATGTTATGTGATTATAGTGAAGTCCCAAAAATGATAGGTATTACTCATTATAGTGCCATTTTAGGTCCATTCTACTAAACCCTGAATAAAAAGAAGAATGTTTGCCTCTTGCAATCCTAACATATAGGAGACTGAGACAGCAGGATCAAGAGTTCAAGGTTGGGCTGGAGAGATGGCTCAGAGGTCCTAATTTCAATTCCCATCAAACACATGGTGGCTCACAACCATCTATAATGAGATCTGCTGCCCTCTTCTGCCATGCAGGCACACATGCAGGAAGAACACTGTATACTAAATAAATAAAATCTTAAAAAAAAAAAGAGTTCAAGGTCACTGTGGGCAACATAGTAAAACCCAAGTCTCAAAGAAAAGTTGTATATGTTTAATAAATTTTTATTGCTAGCCAAAATAAGAAGGACTAAGAAGAGTACATAGAAAGGCCTCACAGTAGCTTCAAGAAACAGGTTTCCTAAGGGTAATTTTTTTTCTAATCTACTTAAAGAAAAACCTCTAATAACTGAAATGCACATGTTTGGAATGCAAGGAGATAGTAATTTCTCTCCAGTAGCAAGAGGAGTATCTCCCAAAGTTTCTAATTAGATAAGCAAACTTGTGTGCTATTAGCTAGCTGCTGAGATTTTGTGAAAAGTTAGGTTGACTCCATGCACCCCCACATAGACTATCTTGTAAAGGAGCTAAATCAAATATGATATCTGCAATCCAATTCTGCAATGATGACAGCATTTTCAATTTCTTCACTAACACACATAATCCATGGCAAAAGAAAGAGAGAAGAGACATATAACTCTATTAACCACAGATGGTCTTCTATCAGAATTAGCACTGTGCCACACTAAAAAATATTCTTAATGGAGACAAAATGATGTCACAGTCTCACAATCATATGAGACAATGGCAGTTAAGTCTTCTCTTACGTTTTTATCTGAGTAATTTCACCAACTTCCTTGCTTGTCCTCTTGGAAACATGGTTCCTAAGCTCTGTATTGTCTTCCTTCTTTAACTGGACAGTTTGACTTTGAGAAGCCTAGAGAAAAGGGGAGCAAATTAAAAGAATCACATATTATCCAATAAGTGGTTCCTATAAGAAAGTCATGACAGGTTCTCCATCCTAGATAGATAATTTGGATGTTCCCAGGAGTCACAATCTAAAATTTTCATAACAGATATGGCACTGGGCCAACCAGCCACAATGGGAGCTACACTAAGCAATCAGTACAATGATACTGGTACATATAAAATAGCATCCATAAGTGTTCCCAAGAGATAAAGGATCCAATTGTGATTTCTATGCCAGACATGCTGGTTCACGAATAACTGAGAAAACAGTTTCTTATGTTTTTACTTAAAATGCACAGAGAATATAGGAAACATGACTAATATTACTGTCTAGTTTTGCCCAGAACAGCTAGTTACTCATAATAAACCTTTAACACAAATCTACTCATGATACCACCATCCTATTTTGTCAAGGAGTATTTATTTAATATTTGTCTCTCAAGATTATACACTACACTAATCCCGACTACTCTACTGAGCAGTAGGAGAAATCGTGAATCTGAATGGTGTCAGTAGAAAGTCAATTTAAAAGTTATACCTTTAAAATGAGCCTGATTGTATTTCAAATATTATGACAATCACATTAAATAAAAAAGGAAAAACAACACAAGAAACAATTAATCTAAGTAATTTATAAGTACATTACTTGACTATATATTCCCAGACAAGATGGGTTTCCATGGAGTGGATATAACAAATAAATATGAAACACTGTTTATTATCTTTATTTTGTGACATAAATATGGAAGAGTTGCTTTGAAACCTCTGCATTACAGTGTTGAATAAATATCTTGATGGTCTGACCTCATGACTGGGATTAGTGCCCTTATATGCAATTCATTAGGGAATTTTCTTGCCTTTCTGCTATATGAAAACATAGATAGAAAAGAGGATTTATGAGGAATGATCTTCATTTTGTATTTCCTAGCTTCTAAAACTGTAAGTGATGTATTTCTAATATTGGGGCTGGTGAGAGATGGATTAGTGAGTAAAAACATGTGCTGCTCTTCCAGAACACCTGGGTTAGATTCTCAGCACCCATATGGCAGCTCCTAACTGTTTGTAACTCCAGTTCCATGGTATGTGACACCTTCTGACCTCTGCATGCACCATATAAGCACATAAAAATACTCATAAAATAAATAAGAAATATAAATTATGTGTGTGTGTAAGTTATTCATAGTTTCTTCTAGAAGTCCAAGTGCACAAAAATAACTTGCCCTTCTGTGGAATATTAGTTGAAGATGTGTTACCTTTATTTATGCTGTGGAATATTTGTTTAATGATGCAAAGATGTGTTGCATCCTTTTATGTTGCATTTGTTTAACTCTGTGAAGCTGTGTTATTTTGCCTGTCTAAAACACCTGATTGGTATAATACAGAGCTGAATATCCAATAGCTAGGCAGGAGATGTTGCCAGGCGAAGAGAATGAATAGGAGAGAGAAGAGAGAGAAAAGGGGAGGAGTGGGAAAAGGAGGAGGAGAGAGGACACCAGGGGCTAACCACCCAGATACAGTCATCCACAGAATAAAAAGGAAAGAAAGGTATATAGAATAGGGAAAGACAAAAACCCAGAGTCAAAAGGTAGATGGGATAGTTTAAGCTAAGAAAAGCTGGTTATAAACAAACCAAGGTAAAGCTCGATATTCGTAAGTAAAATAAATCCCTGTGTATTTATTTGGGAGCTGGGTGGTGGGTTCCCAAATTTGTGTATTTTTTTGTAAATTATTTATCTACCTTGTTTCATCTAAATTCCTAGAACCATTATTTAACAGGATAGGAAATGAATATATATATATATATATATATATATATATATATATGTGTGTGTGTGTGTGTGTGTGTGTGTGTGTGTGTGTGTGCATATGTAAAGCTGATATACAAACAATTAACATGTATGTTATAATCTTCACAAAAAGATTGTATTAACAGGGATCCAAAGCAGAGAATTTTGTTCAAACCATCATTTTTCATGGGGTCAAACATTGTCTAACAGAAGTATTTTGACAGTCACAAAAATACTTTACAATAGAGGGCAAGAACAGTTCACCAAGCTTCTCTGTAGTCTAAGTGAAATAGACTTAAAAACCAACATTGATTTTCATCTGTCAAGTAGAGATGAATATAGTATCTATTATATGTTGTTATAGAAAGAGTAAGTGGCTTAATAAAAGGAAAACTAATATAGTAATACTCAAGACATCATAAGCGCTCATTAGGCATCAATTATGATTTTCTAAGAAAAATTACTACCTTTGTCCTACTCTTACATTAACTTACCAACACTCTACTATTTCTGATTTTTTCATAACACCTTAATCTTATTTAAAGTTAGGTGACTGTTTGTGGCATAACTAGACAGTGAACTCAAAGCATGCCTCTAAACTGGCAGTGCCACTGATAAGGACCAAAAGGACAGCCTGGGATCAACTCAGGCTGAACTCTCCTGGGTATGAATCATTTGCCTCTGCTAGCTTTTGCTAACCGCCATATTCCACTTCAAAATTTAGAGTTAGTCACGTCAACTGTTTTTCTGCTCTACCATCTCAGCCCAGTTTTCCTTCCTCACCTACTCGGCATCAGCATTGTCCCAGAGCTCTCTGCTTGGACTCTCTTGTTTGCTCCACAAGAGTCTTACTGGTATGCCACAGAAGGGTTGCTATTAGGTAACAAAAACCTAAACTAAGCAGTCCTCAGAAATCGTGTAAAGCGGGTTTCTGTTTGTCAGGAAAAGCCATTAGTTCCCTTATCCTCCCCCAAAGGTCAACTATCAAGCACAAAGAGCATCTAGTTTCTGATTAACACAAGCAGTCTACTACAGATCAAATTCCCATGTTAAATCCCATGTTTTTCTGGCCTGCACCTCTCCTTCCACCACTACCTGTCCCCATAGAAACTGACAAGGTTTTCCCTTCGACCTGCGGTTTTCTGCCCTCAAGAAACAGCCTGGAAGTTCGGTTCCCCAAATAAATTGCCTTTCTACCCATGGTCTCACTGTACCTTACATATGGTGCCAGAATTTGGTACCAGAATCAGGAAGGGACACTTGGGCCCTGAAAGCCTGTTCCCTCTTATAACCAAACCAAACTGTCAACTTGGACCTCCTAGGTACACATCAATGGCCTCTGCTGGCTTCTGCCACCCACCACATTTGACGCCAAATTTTAGAGTCAGTCTCTTCAGCTGTTTTTCTCCAGTACCTGATCAATCTACTTATCTCTCCTCACCTACTCAGTATCCTCTTGTAACTTCCTGGTTTCTCCCTCTCTCTCACTCACTCACTCACTCACTCACTCACTCAACAAGCATTACTGGTGCAAGGTGGCATACCATGTCACATGAACGAGGGATGCCTGTCCACATGATCATGGGAATGTCTCTGACAAGAGTCAGGCCCCTAGGGATGCCCTTAGATTAAGACTGTCCTATGGCACTTAGCCCTTACCATATCACTCACCCTACACCTCTACTCCTATAATATTGGTGTTCTTCTTTGCAGGGAACTCAGGCCCTTTCCTAATTCTCTGACCTCTTCTTTGCCCTGCTTCTGAGATTTTACTGACACCCTTTCTTCAAGGGTGTCTTCCTTCCTCCCTCTAACCACCCATGGGATCTTCCCATTCAGAATTAGACTCATCAACTCCTTTTGGCTGACTTTTCAAATTTCTTTCCCTATTTGGACTTAACTATTTTTTAACTGCAAATGCAGTTTGGCCTCAATACAAGCTTGATCATCAGCTTCAATGGCAAGAAAATGGCACATTGGATTTAGAAATTTTCACAGATTGTGACAGTTTCTGCCATGGAACAAGCAGAGATGGTCTGAAATACCTTTGCTTCCTCCTCTCCTCTCTCCTTCTGATCACTGGGTTTAGTCTTACAGAGATTCAAATGCCTTTGGGGTATGGATAATACTAAAATATTTTCACATGCTGTTTTACTCTACTGAAAAGCTGGCTCTGGGAATGGGATTTGGCCTGCACATTTTATACCAAGCATGTCTGTCTCCAAGGCCACTGTCCTGGGTCAGGATACCCTCTGACTCTGTGACAGGGAAAAGAGGGACAACAGGACAGCCCAGGAAAAATGCCCTGTGTGCTTGAGAATAGCTAAAAAATAAACTATATGCAACAGAGATTACTATTTCATAGCTCAGGGTATTTAATTTTTTAATAAAGAGAAATTTTACATATAAAATTAATATGGCTAAATGTAATCACATATGTTTAGCCCTCTGAATCCACTCCTCTTTTCTTGGTTTTGTTTAGAATGTTCTGCCATTCAAATTCACAGATATCTTTGAACCTTCTGCAGAAATGTAAGCTTTCTTTGTCTTGGGATCTGTAAGATCATCGGAGTACGGTTTAAAAAGTCTGAAAAATCCTAAGCAGAGCTAAAGGTAGCTTAAAACTTGTAACAAAAGGGGTTGATAGTTAAAAATCTATGTGCAAGTAATCTTAATTTGCTACACCATACCACAGATGTTACTTGGACTCAACTCTTATTTAGGAAAATAGATTTTTTATTAGACTAAGGAGATAATACCAGGCCTCCAAGATGGTTTCTTTTATTTTATTTTCCTTAGATATTTCACATAAGGATGTTTTTTGTTTGTTTGTTTGAGACAGGGTTTCTTTGGTTAGCCCTGGCTGTCCTGACTTGCTCTGTAGACCGGATGACCTCAAACTCACACAAAGTTGCCTGCTTCTGCCTCCTGAGTGCTAGGATTAAAGGCACGTGCCACCACTGCCTAGCTAAGGATGAATTTTTGTATGATGATTTTTGTCCTAAGAGTGGAACACTATGAACAAGTTTTATGGAAAATAGGATTTAGGAACAACATGTTTGATGATTAAGGTTTACAAAATTACTAAGTTTATAATGGTCTATTCAGTTTAACAGAAACTGATTTAAAAACATATGTCTAACCACTTATATCTTTGCTAACTTTGTCAGGTTTTAGATATTTGGAAAAATTATGCCATAAAACCTGCAATATGTTTTAAAATTACACTATAAAAGGGTCAGGAAAATTAGGTTCCTAATCTCCCCCATGGACTGCATTTATGGTTTAAAGTGTATTTTCATACTAAATTTAAATTTAAAACATTATAAATTTTAAGGCTCAAACTTAACAGAGATAAAATTATGGAATCCTAATCTTATAAAAGTTACTAACTTATTGTAAACTGCTAATGATAATTAAGACACACAAATTAATGGTCATTCACCTTATAAATGATCAAATTCTTTAATGTGCTCAAAACCATGTTTGTAATGATGCTAAATAAACTGTAATTCATTTACAGGTACAAGCTTGAAGAGAGAAACCAATTTTTATTTCCCATTATATTGTCTTCTGTATATATTGTCAAAGTTAAGCCTGAAGCAAGTAACTGAAAACAAGTTTAAGTAAACTTAAAGTTTGTTCAATGTAGACGATAGCCCCAAACTCTCAGAGATCTTCTGAATATGGCATTTAAGGTGTTTAATAAAAGGGAGGAGCAAGAAAGGCCCCCAAAAGCTTCTCATGATAGACAGAAATAACTGCTTCTGGCAGCAGCTCTGAGTTCATTTCCAATAAAAATTGAGTTCACCTAAGACCTTGTTCAAATGTGGCAACACCAGTTACTGGATAAAGAACTCACCTCACCTCACCCCACCCTGTACCAGGATCCTCCCCAAACTGTAGATGGGCAGGACACTGGAGAGTCAACTGTCCCTCTTTGTCTCATCAGAGTAGGTTAGTACCCCAAGTTCCTCCTCCACAGGAAAATCTCTCAGGTTTTCTGGACCTGGTGGCTGAAATTTATGATGCCCTGAAACCTTAGTCCCCAACAAAACCATCAACGATATCATGGAAGAACCTAGGGTAACTGTTCAGATAGTGGGAAATATTCATTTTTAATTGATATGGAGGCCACTTGGTCCATACTTCCCATTTACTCCAGTAAGTTATCCTCCTCAGATCTCTGATGAGTGTTGATGGCTGGCCTCACCAGTCTATGGCTGCAGGACCTCTCCTCTATAGTTTCATAAACATGAGAGATAGTTTTGAGTGTCACTATCACTGGGCTAATTATAGAATTTAAATCCTGGGATACAGAGGTGATGAGTGATAGTCAATCCTACAGAAAAGACAAAAATGGTCTTGCCCAAAACTCTAACAGTGCTTGAACTGATAAAGCTACTCTGGACTACAATTATTCTATTATAACTCATTTCCAAAGCCTAGGGAACTATCTCTGGATTTTAGGGAAATATAATCTCCCATAGTTTTGTAGTTATTCACAATTCTATATACTAGTCAGTGTTTAATGTCTCCAGAGAACATATAAATTGACCCAAATGGTATGTTCCAGTAAAAAGAGCCTCTACAGCTTGTGAAACTGTGTCACACTGATTCCAAATAAATTCTGCTGTCAACATTCCAAGAGAGTCAAGATCTGCTGGTAAGCAGGAAAGATCACTCAGGCAAAGAATATCTAAGGCTTGTATAAAACTACAAAAAAGAATGGGATTAGCATACTCACATTAGTGAGATCTTCAAAAGCTGATCTCTTTTTTGCTGTGTCTTGAAATGAAGGTGAAGATGTTGTTTGGTTATCCTCTCCATTCTGTAAAAATAAGAGGCAAATGAGTATGGTCAACTGTAAATAAGCCCTTTGGAACTTTAGCTCATATTCAGAGCTTGAATAGATTCCACAATATGTATAATAAATCTTATGAACTACAATAGAAGTTTATTTTGGTACCTATAGATGTTTAAACAGTCACTGAAGAATATAGTCATTGATGAAATGTACAAGACCAAATGATCTTCAGTAGAAATTTCAAAATGAGTAAAACAGCTTGGTGAAGCTAATTTATTATCTTTCTCTTCCCATAGTTATGGCTATACTATCCAAGATTAACTATCAGCACTACTAGGTAATACTTCCAAGTAAGTTAGGTAAATAACACAAGTAAGTGTCTCTTGCACTAAATGCACTGAGTTAATGCTTACTCACTAAGGCCAATAGTATACTGGCCCAGAATCAGCTCTCTACTAAATATTGACCTTGGAAGAAAGAGTCACTCAATTTTGGGGACAATTTTCTTATCAGTAAAATTGGTATGATAAACTACCTTACAGAGTATTTATGGATTACAAAAATAGAACATAATTTCAAAGTGGTTTTTGTAACTGTGTTAAGGATGGAACCCAGAGTCTTGTACATCCTAAGCAAACTCTCTACTCTAGAATACATTTTCCAGTCTGTATAAATTATAAATGGAAAGAAATGGTACTTTAAGCTGGGTGTTGGTGGCTCATGCCTTTTAATCCCAGCACTCAGGAGGCAGAGGCAAGCGGGTCTCTGTGAGTTAGAGACCAGCCTGGTCTTCAAGAGCTAGTTCCAGTAGAGCCTTCAAAGCCACAGAGAAACCCTGTCTCAAAAAAAAAAATGATACTTTAAAATTATGTAGTCCTGAGTGCTTGTAAACATCACAGGAGAATAATTTATTTTAAGAAAATAGTTTGTTAATACAGAGTATCTCTAATTGTTATTTGATGTGTGGGACTTATGGAGAAGAGATGTGATAAAGGACAGAAGGAAGTTGCATACTTTAAGCAACAAGGATTTTCTTTTTAGGTATTGTGTATCTGTACATACATGCCTTACCCACTCCCAAATGACTAAGACTATATGTGAAGGGACACTAGCTCACAAGAACATGTGGCTCTGGCAGGCCTTGCCCTTCTCCCCATTCCCTCTACCTTGATAAAACACACACATACACACACACACACACACAAAACTAGATCACATCCCTAAAGCTAGCCATCAAGGTCTATTTCCTTATTTAGTCACTTTCTCCTCCTGAGCCTGACTACCAAGGTCCAGAAATCCAGACCTTTTGGCTCACCTAATTAACATAACCAATTAAAATTAAATACCTCAGCCTAAGACAGGGTTTCCCCCTTTACTTTTATAAACCAACATTTGCCTATGGACTATGTCTGTCTCCCCTCTATCCAGAGGCAGTCCTTGTCCCTCTGGGACAAATACCCTGTCCCCTTTTTCCTTGTCCCCTTTCCCTTCTCCATCATCCCCTATTTCCTTTCCCATCAGATCCTAGCCCATTCTAACACAGACCTCCCCTTCTCCTCCTAAACATTATACATGCTGCTGTTTTCTGCCCGAGTCAGAAAGCAACCACTTTAACTTTTCTTCTCTGCTTAATAAAGGACCTTTGTGACAACACTAAACGAGTGTTTAGGTGTGGTTTGTACCTGATCCAGGGTCTGGGAGGAAGCCCCTGCTGTGCTGGTGGGGTCCCCTTCACTGGTTCTGTGACAATGATAGTCCAGTAATGCCCCAACCCTTTTTCACATGTTCCAGTCCTCCTGGAGCCTGACTCCCTCATCCAACAGTGGCTAACCTAAACAGTCCCCAGGTTATCAGGTGGCAACCATAGTGTGTCTGGTGTTCTCCACTCTGTCCTGTGGGATAGGGAGACTGCACCCCACCATGACCTTCACTGGTTACAGAAGACTTGCAGGACTGGCTGCTAGCTAGGCTCATTCTATGTAGTCTGGTTTGGTAGGCAGCTTCCCCCTTTCACTGCCAGAATCTGGTACCCTTCCCCACTCTGAAAAATCCTGTTGACCCATCCCTGATTCCCAGACCCACAGGGCTCTTGACTCACTGGGTCACTCTCTTGGTGATAGTGCCTGGGTGACAACACCCTCCCTCTCAGAGACTATTCCTCAGCCTCTCGAGATACACAGGGATGTGTGGTATTTCAACCTTTGGCCCACTAGCACCAAAAGTTATGTGTTCTGCCTCCTCCATTCCAACTGGGATGTCTCCTCCAGAATCCCAAACCGATACATCATTCAGACATCAAATCTCCTAAGCTCTATAGTATACTACAGTATACATGCTCAGCCTCTATAGCCACTAGATAATCAATCTAAATGACCCCCCCACACACACACCAGCTCTTAGGATTCAGGATCGCTACAACTTTTGTGAGCACACAGAAAAATAAAGAGCGATACTTTACATCTCTGCTTTCTCTCCTGTCTGTTCCAAGCCCTGTGTGTGACTCCTACACTTTCTGATTTTTCCCAAACTCCATTGTAAGTCTTAAATGTCCTATTTAACCCTTTGTGCACTACAGGAATACTGACTGCCATGCATTCTGTGCCCACCAGCTGTTGTGCTGCCCATGTAGCCAGTGCCCCCTACTCATCCTCAGGTGCCTTCCCAACAATACCCTTCATTCTCCAACTTCCCCACTCCTCCATCCAGCTATATTTCACCAAGGCCAGACAGACTAGTCTCTATCTCCTTGGCGCCCACTTCCCCTCCCCCACTTTCTCTGCCTAATTCAGCTCCATGGTGCTGCAGAGCCCAACCCTGTTAACCACTTCATAGGTCACACCCATTAGACCCGAACTTCAGTGGCTGTTATAGTACTCTCTGCCCATAGGTGCTAAAGTTGCCCTCAACTTCCTTCCATCCTGCCTGAGCTCATCAGTGCACACACACAAAGCACATCAGCCTCTCCAACACTCTGTAACAACAGGTCACTCCCTTCCCTCAAGGAACTGCAGTTTCCTTAGGCCCAAATCAGGGCCACAGAGGCTCCCTTAGGGCCTCTGGGCTTCTGCAATGTCCCTATGATCTCTCAGCTTCCTCCTGGAAGAGCTACAGGTTTTCTAGGCCTGTGTAGGGATATTGCAATTGCCCAAACCACCTCCACTACTTGTTCCAGCTGTACTGCTCCAATAGCTTCTTCCTTAACCCTCACTCCAAAAGACCCCTCCTTTCAGCCATGCTCCTCTCTCCCTTCCTAAAGTCAAATTCCCCACTGTTGATAACCAAGCTATAATACAGTTTATGGCCTTGTGATAACATCTTACCACTGCCCTTTTCCCACCTTAACCTTTTCTTGTCCTGGCATTGCCCACAGTATAAATTGTTAAAGATAATTAAAACATACAAGTTAATTATCACTTATCTCATAATAATCATATTATTTAATATGTTTATAATCATAGTCATGATTAAAACATAAATAAGCTTAATTTAGGTATATATTTTTTTTCAAAATTAAGCCTTTGAAACAAGTAACTACAAACAAAGTTTGTCTAGTTCAGGTACACTTAATAGATAATGGTCCTTAAACTCTTCAGAGATTTGCTACATATGGCATTTAAAATGTTTAATTTTTAAAATAGCTTTTTGTAATAGAGAGACATACCAGCTCCTGGCAGCACCCTAATCTCCTCCAAAGAAGATGATGGGCACCAAAGAAGTCCAGCTGGAGATTGCTTTAAATGTGACAAAGCCAGCCACTGGGTAAAAAACTGCTCTTCACCTTGACTGCTGCCATGACCCTGCCCAGACTGTGGACAACCAGGATGCTGTGGAGTTGATTGCTCTGCTTTACAAAGACAAGGTAGGCTGGTCCCTCCAAGCTCCTATTCCACAGGAAAGTCTATCAAATCTTCTGGGCCTGGTAACCAAAGACTGATGCTGTACTATTACCTCTATCCACAATGACCATGGAGGAACCTGAGGTAGCTATGTAGGTAACCAGTAAGTCTCTGTCATTTAAATTGATACAGCCATTTAAATTATACTTCATACTCAGATTTAATCTTCTCAGCTCTCTGATGGTACTGATGGCTAACTGTAGCTTTAACAACAAACACCCAGCTGCCTGGTCAGTCAGCCCATTTCATATATACAATTTAACTTGCTGACAGGCTTCACACTAAGAAAGACTTGCAGTTTCTGAAGGTTATGAGAAACAGACAAGTAAGTTATATAGGTCAAGGAAAATAAATGATACAAGTTATGACAGTTCAAAAATGTGCTAAGGTCTGAGATACAAAAGTTTAAGTAAGTCATGAAGGTTTAAACAAGTCATTTTCAGATATGTAAGTCCAAAAAATAATTTAAGATATATTAAAAAGTTGTTCCAGATTTCTTTCCTTTTCTCTAGATAACCCCTCTTCTTTATCCATAGTTAGAATACACAGCCAGTTCTCCAGACCCTCCCAGACTTGCTCCTTTCAAGGTTCCTTTTTCTTCCTTATTCCATCATGCCCTAGTCCCTTACCAAGAAAGTATTTCCTCTCCAGGATTGACATAAATTTTGCCTTTTACCCTGACAATAACTCTTAGGACACTCCTACATCCCTCCTCTTCCTTTCCTCAAAAATCCCCAAACCTCTCTTGCCTTCTGTCTCCTCCTCTAGTCCATTTCACTGTATGGCATACCATCTCTCCTTCCCTTGCTGTACACTGTAAACCCCCCTTTGAGTATGAAAGACCCTTCTGCCTATATCTCCAAACCCTAATACTACCTACCCCTAATCAGCCTCTGCCTAGGCCTCAAACCTGTCATTTCTATGCCCTACTTCCTCATCCTATACTACTTCCTGTCAAAAAAAAAAAAGAACCTAAAGAGACCTTCCACCTAGTCCAGGAGGACCTTAACTCCATTAACATCCTTTGTCCCTTTATACTCTTAAGTCTCCACAACCCTTAGGATATCCACTCTGTCATCACTGACAATACCTCTCACTTTCCAATTCTAAATCTTAAAAACACTTTCT